TTCTTAGTCAATAAATAAACCATAACCCAATATAATGCACAGAACTTTCAATGCAATAAGAGCAAAGAATATAATGTGCAAAGTGCAGTAACCCATGGAAACCAATCAAAAGTTATCTCACCAGAAAACTCAAAGCTTAAAGGTTGCTGGGGATGACTGAACTTTGAAAATTATTTTTGCTTTGTACGTTTTTATATTTAATAAACCAAATAACTGAATACACATGGAAGTGTTAGCTCTGTACCTCTTTTATTCACACACGTTATTGTTTAGACATTTCAGAATTCCCTATCTATCTCTCTTTCCTAAGTCACAAGGGTATCCTTGAATTTTGTTATGTTACTGACATTTGACAGGGAGCACTAATCATATGCAGGTATCTGAAGTAAACCCATTTGAACTGATGTCACGGTGTGATCATCCAAACATTTGTTCTCAAGGCTTCCCACAAAGGACTCTTTTCAAACCATGAGACACACAAACAATTGCTTTACCATGAACTGCCAATTTTAATGGAAATCCCTTTCTCTTTGAAAGATACCTCCACTGAACCCGACTTCACCCTCCCTTGTGTCCCCACAGCAAGCAGCGTACAAATTGTTACCTGACAAATCCCTCTCCATGCTTGATGATAGTAATTTTTAGCTTTGTGATTTAACTGTACAACCCGAATGGACATGGCAAGCCTTAGCATATAATCACATAGAGGTCATTTGCCTTCTGTAATTTTATAGACTGCATGGTGCTGGAACAGAACAGAGCTGGAGCTGCCCTTGCATAGGGTCCCTGCCATATGGCTTTATACGATGCAAAGAGCCTGCAGAAGATTGGCTCGTGAACAAATCACATTTTACTGCTAGCTTCTGCATAGAGCTTTTTAACTTTGGCATCTTATCAGAAAGAAACACAAATCAGCACCAGAGAGAGAGAGAGAGAGAAAGAGAGAGAGAGAGAGAGTAGAAACCCAGTGCAAGTCATACTGGGAACTTAGTACAGCAATGCTGCAGCCTTGGAGACCAGCTAATTTTCAGCCTAGGCTTCCTTGGGCATGTAATTGTGAAGTTACTATCACTGTTTTGAAAACAATGCCTCCAATCATCAAAATGAATGCAAATAGTTACAAACCAGAGGCTACACAGCATGAAAGCACTCGGTACAGCTAAAGCACTGCGTGGTTATTTAAGTGATGTCAACAGAGGATAAGTGAAATGTAGGTTATAATTCAATCTCAAATAAAAGTTTTTCATTATGCGCAATGCAAGATGCCTTGAACATGCAGAGCATGGCATTTTTTTCCCCGACATATTGCTTTCTGATTATTGTGAAAGTACTGGTTATAATGCAAATCATGGCACACAGGCATACACACTATAATAATATATGGATCATATATATGACAGATATATATATAGTTATAGATATGTACTGTACATAATGCTATTATATATATATATATATATATATATATATATATTACTAAAAGTAAATACAATTATACATATACACATTACACATGTGTTACAATCATGTATAATTATTGGAAAAGAGTGTTTATAAATATCAACTCGTGAATCTCTTTGATACCTACTACATTGCTCTATAAATATTATGGGCAGACGGCAATGAGTCATTTACAACCACTCCCACACACGTATGCATACATACGCATGCACAATGACAATCACACACGCACACATACACACATGGTAACACACCACATACACTGGACCGTCTCTCTTTTAATGTTCCAAATTCATTTATTGATCAAAGCATTCCCTACAACTGTTGTCACATTAATATTTTAAGCTGACTTATGACTGTGTCATTAAAAGGTACAGCATGCACAGTAGATGCAAATAAATGTCAATAACAGCCAGTGCAGCTTTTTCCTTTAAAAAGTATATTGACAATCAGATACACCTCCTTTACAGTTTAATTACCCCCCCCCCCCCCCCCATCCTTATAATTCTGCATACATGTAATAATTACAAGTAGATCAGTGATTAAATATAAAAGTGGCCTTTACTTACACCAGTCCCAAACACAAAGCTGGTACAATCCCTGCTCCTGTACACACCCTTCATGGTCCCCACTTCCCTCAGTATAATTACCTGCATTTTTATTTTGGATACAGCTGGTATCATCATTCTTCTGGCAGCTCTGGTCACAGCCATGAAACAACTGATGGCAGGTTTGCAAAGAAAAGTACCACTTTTTTTTTTCCTTTGGTCTTTTCAAGTCACATAAGGACTTCTTCCCTTAAATCCCAGGCAATGATCTCAATGATACGTTAGACTTACAGCATGCAAAATGTACCTGCACCTGCAGAATGCAAGCCAAGATGAGTGTACAGTGCAGATTCCCATACAGAACATCTTTCTCTGCTGTCACAACTGGAACAAATTCTCTTTTTTTAGAGCAACACAAGGTAACTGGTTTGCAAAAATAAAAAAAAAATAAAAAAAAATCTAAAGTACAATAGAGGGGAGAGGGGGGATATGACTTGATGACTTGCTCCAGCTCTGGATTTCATGGCTTATCAGTTTGCTTTTCAAAGCTGTAGTTTGCTGTAGTTTGAAGTGACAGCTGCTGAGCAAGCAAAGGGAAGGCTTACAGCTTTGGTGAGGGGAAAACTGATGCCTTTGCCTCTACTGCATGGTTCTGCTTAAAACTGTACATATGTATTATGAAAGAGCGATGATCACCCGGGATACCCCACACACCCACACAAAAAAAAAAATGCCAGGGCTTCCCAATGCATGCTCACGTCATAAACCTAAACGCTCCCCCTCCGCTTTGATCTTGCTTCTTCCAGCTTGTTTCCATGATGCTAGGGGGAGAAGAAGAAGAAGAAGAAAAAAAAGGAGAGGGATCTAGACACAAACAGAGATGGGAAAAATAGAGAAAAGAGAAGATAATGAGGTGTAAGTAATCTGGGAAATGAGATTGTTAGATGTGATGGGAAGCTCTGTACTCACAATAGGAAGGAGAGGGAGTCAGTGAAGCCTCTCACCCAGACAGGTGAAGACAGGGAGACACAAACGGTGTGAAGATCCCTGACTATGATCGACTCTCCCAATTATCTGCTGTCAGCCAGGGAGGAGGGGGGAAACTGGGGAAAGAAAAAGAGAAGGCAACAAACGGGCAAAGCCACAGAAGAGGTTGAAAGAGAATAAATAGGAGGTAGACAATTGAAGCAGTGGTGTGAAGGTTGTTGGATTTGTGTCAAATTTCCAATGATCTGTTGCCTACGACTGTAGGAGGAGGAGGAGGAGAAGGATGGAGGGCTAAAGAAAAAAAAAAAAAAAAAAGATAGAGAGGGGGGAAAGGGAAAAAAAAGAGAGAGAGGGCGAGTGAGAAAGACCTCAGCAGGCAATGTTGGACAGAGAGGCTGCAGATTCTTCGCTGGCTCCATTGAGCATACTGAGTGGCAGATCTGCATGCTGAAGCAACCCATTGAAAACACAGAGCAGCTCACAGCACACTGCACATTGCACATTCCCAGCACGTCTCTAGCTCATTTTTTTTTCCTTTTTTTTTTTTTTGCCTCAGACTCAGTAGGAGCAGATAGGAAGAGAAAGACAGAGAGAGGGAGAGCCAGCAATCCTCAAACTCAGCCTTTATTCCCCCGGATGTGCTAAAAATTCACCTGCAGACTGGTAAGTAAATCAACCCCTCTTGTCTCTACTTTTCTAGGGTGACCTCACATTAGATGGAAGTTGCAGATATGTATTTGCAAATGATGCTGCTGATGCTGAGGCTGCTGCAATCTAACCCTCTGCTTTTTTTTTTCCTCCCTTCTATCTTTATTTCAAGCGATCTATTTACTGGCATGCCAGAATGTGGACTGCTTAGCATCTATGTAATGTGTCAGGAAAGCTGCATTAGCATTTATTGTATTTCACTAGAGTGGAGGCTTTCATTTTAAGTTTCATTACCATCACTATGCTCTAAGCACACAGGAAATGCAGTAAGATGCAGGTGGCTTCATATCTACAGATTTCAATGTAGTTATTTGCAGCATCTATGGATGGGGGGGGGGGGGGTTATTGCATGGATTGGATTTTTGTGCTAGAATAAGCTAGAAGAATAGGATTCAAGGATGGGATGACTTTATTTTTCAATGGCTTATTATAAACTGTTTCGACACTTAGGCACTTTGTTAATGTATAGGTATTTTCGTCAGTGAGATACATTCAGTGCCTAGTCTCTGTGCTGGTAAAGCTCCAGTCCCAGAGCAAGGGAGGCAGAGCATTTAAATCATGGATCATCCCAGACTAAGCTGCATTTTACTGTCAGTTTCCCCTCCAATTGGAAGATCATATGGACAAGCAGTGTGGCCAGATTAATTATCTCTACATTCTTTTATCTATTTATGGCCATTTAAAGTGCCCGATAGCCACTGCGATTAACTGCATGCTGGAATCTGCTAATGCATCACAAACGAGGAGTACGCGGATATTTTACTGGAAATAGCAATCAAGATTTTGACATCAACTCTTTAGGATAAATTGCATGCTTTGCAGTAATTCTCACTCTCATATATGTTACAACTGTATCTAGTATGTATATACAAGCTTAGATTATTGTCTGTGTTAAGGCACACTGGTGTTACTTGTACTATTATTATAGCTCAGTATGACTCATAGACAAAGATCATTTTTTTAGACACAAATTATTTCCATTATGACATAAGATCACTTATTTATAAGTAAGACACAATTCTTACCATTGTCTATGTGTACAGAGATAGTCTCATGGAGTGGCAATTATGTAATACAGTGCATTAAGCCAAATGGCATTGCATAATTGCAGATTTACACTTTGATAGACTAGATCTTGCAAACTAGTGTGCATTGACAATGAAAAGACAAATCACGGTTCCCTTGCTATTGTTACTTTGCACTCAGCCTGTTTATATGTATAGTAGAGTTAAATAATGACATCTGTTTTTTTTTCTTCTTTGTCTTCCAGCTTTTTTTGTTTTTAATTAATCAGAAATGGAACCTTCTCCAGCAGAAACTCAACTAAATGGACGTATGTTGTGGATAATTCTTTTAAGCACAATTGCTCTTGCATGGACTACGCCAATTCCCTTGATTGAGGATTCAGAAGAAATAGACGAGCCTTGCTTTGATCCTTGTTACTGTGAAGTGAAGGAAAGCCTTTTCCACATTTATTGTGACAATAAAGGATTTACAAATATTAGTCAGATTTCCGAGTCTTGGTCTCGACCATTTAAACTGTATCTTCAGAGAAATTCTATGAGAAAACTGTACACAAACAGCTTCCTTCACTTGAACAATGCTATGTCGATTAATCTCGGGAACAATGCATTGCAGGACATTCAAGCTGGAGCTTTTAATGGGTTGAAAGTTCTGAAGAGGCTATACTTGCATGAAAACAAACTAGATATTTTTAGAAATGACACTTTTATGGGACTGGAAAGCTTGGAGTATCTACAAGCAGACTATAATGTAATTAAGAGGATCGAAAGTGGGGCCTTCAGAAATTTAAATAAACTGAGAGTGCTGATTCTCAATGATAACCATATTCCTTTGCTTCCAACAAATTTATTTAAGTCTGTGTCTTTAACACACTTGGACTTGCGTGGAAATCGTTTAAAGATCCTTTCTTACAGAGGGATGTTGGATCACATAGGAAGAAGTATAATGGAGATACAGTTAGCTGAGAATCCTTGGAACTGTACCTGTGAGATTGTGCAGTTGAAAACGTGGCTTGAACGTATTCCTTATACTGTTCTGGTTGGGGATATTTTATGTGAAAGTCCCTTTCACTTTCATGGCAAGGATTTGAGGGATATAAAGCGAAGTAAACTTTGCCCCTTGTTGTCTGAAAGTGAGGTTGAAGCAAGCTTGGGGATTCCCCAGTTACCATCGAGCAAAGAAAATACGTGGCCTACTAAACCTTCCTCTATGTTATCATCTTTTCATGTAACTGCTTCTTCTGTGGAGTACAAGACATCAAATAAGCAACCCACCACCACCAAGCAACCTAGGCCTCCGAAGCCTCCACCGACACCCAGAGGCCTTTATCCAGGTCCAAACCAACCACCAATTGCTGGGTACCAGACTAGACCACCTATTCCAATCATCTGCCCGACTGGATGTTCATGCAGTTTGCATATCAATGATCTGGGATTGACTGTAAACTGTAAGGAGAAAGGTTTTCATAATATATCAGAACTTCTGCCTAGACCGCTCAATGCTAAAAAACTTTACTTGAGTGGTAACTTAATACAAAAAATCTACCGGTCTGATTTTTGGAATTTTTCTTCACTGGATCTATTACACCTTGGAAATAACAGAATTTCTTATGTTCAAGAGGGAGCCTTTATTAATCTCCCAAATTTAAAGAGCTTGTATTTAAATGGAAATGACATTGAAAGGCTGACACCTGGCATGTTCAGGGGTTTACAGAGTTTGAATTATTTATATTTTGAGTATAACATGATAAGGGAAATCCAGCCTGCTGCTTTCAGCCTGATGCCAAATCTAAAGTTGCTGTTTCTCAATGACAATCTGTTGAGAACACTCCCAACTGATGCTTTTGCAGGCACATCACTAGCAAGGCTGAATCTCAGAAACAACCACTTTCTATACCTTCCTGTTGCAGGAGTCCTGGAGCACCTTAATGCAATTGTGCAGATTGACCTTAAACAGAATCCATGGGATTGCACCTGTGACATTGTCCCTCTAAAGCAGTGGATAGACACCATCAGCTCTGTCATTGTGGTTGGAGAGGTATTGTGCACAAGCCCTGAGAACCTGACAAACAAGGATCTAAAATCCATTGAAATGGAAATTTTGTGTCCAGAGATGCTACATGCTACTTCACCATCTTTGCCTGGAAAGATGGTGCCCACAAGCTCCTCTGTGTTTGAGCTTACCACATCTGGAGGTGCCATTCCACTATCTGTCCTCATCCTCAGTCTCCTAATCTTGTTTTTCTCAGCTGTTTTTGTGGCTGCTGGCCTCTTTGCTTTCGTGCTGAGAAGGCGCAAGAAGCTGCCTTTCAGAAAGAGACAAGAGGTAGATTTGACGGGCATTCAAATGCAATGTAGAATCTTTGAGGACAGACCAAACAACTCCCCAGAGAAAGCTCCTGGGCATGTCTATGATTACATTCCTCATCCTGTAACCCAGATGTGCAACAATCCCATCTACAAACCCAGGGAGGAAGAAATGGGAGAGGAATTTTCAGAAACAAAGGAAAACAACACAAATTATAGGACCTTAATAGAAAAAGAAAAAGAGTGGACCATGGCAGTGTCAAACTCCCAGCTAAACACTATAGTTACTGTCAATCAGAGTGGGGAAGTACCAAGTTTTCATGAAAATGGGGTCATCTTTCCTGGAGTAATTGACCGAGAACGGCCAGCACCGACGGTGGGCTTTGTGGACTGCATTTATGGCACAGTACCCAAATTAAAGGAACTGCACGTCCACCCACCTGGCATGCAATACCCTGATTTACAGCAGGATGCCAGATTAAAAGAAACCTTACTTTTCTCAGCTGGGAAGGGGTTTTCAGACCAAACTCAAAGTGAATACCTCGAGTTAAGGGCCAAACTCCAAACCAAGCCGGATTACCTCGAAGTCCTGGAAAAAAACACATATAGATTCTAATATAGCATAATTTCATAGCGCCCAAAAACAAAACAAACGCATGATTCAAGATGATAATACCGTTGTGCTCCCCAAATTGTTTTGGAGGAAGGGCCATACTCTAATCGTAATTAATTGAAGTGCCTTCGCAGACTTTTGCCAGCAATGTTATCAATCATTATTTTTTATATAGGAATCTAAGAAACTTGACTGTGCCATGTAAGGTATGGGGATATTTGTACTGATCCTGATAAAAATAATTCCACGTGTCCTTTTTTGGCAGTAACTTAAACCTTTTCACTGGAGGGTATTGGGGGTGAGGGAGATAAGATGGCATTGTGGCTTCCTTATACAAAGAAACACCCATGGCACAGTTCCTGTATATTGATGCAGTTTGCTGCATGCCTGAAAAGGAAAAAAAAAACTGCAGGGGGGGGTTAATGCTCGAATGTTCTCACCCAAAACACGAATGCTCATCTGTCTTCTTTTTACCAACAATTCAGCATCCAAACACCTGGATTCACTGCAAAGCATCATGATTCAATGGGTTCAATGTATATTTGATTTGTTTCCTTTTTTGCAAAGCAGGAAGTATTGTACACAAGACAGCTAGGGATCAACATCTTTGTGAATTCATGAATATGCCAGGATTTTTTTTTTTTGCAGCTCCTTGCAATTTCTTTAGCAATGCTACTGGGTACGTATCACTAACAGCTTTGTAGGAAGCACTTTAAATGTCTTCTCCCCCCCTCCTTTTACTCCTTAGCCTACCCCATACACAAAGATTTTACAAAATGTGCATATATTTATTCTGTAATTTCAGTGAATATTAATTGTAAAGGTAATGTTTAATCAATGTATAGTGATTATGCGTCTGGTATAGCTTTCCTAATAAAATAATTTAAAACAATACATACATATACAGATATATACAGATAAAAAAAAGCTTGATTTAGCTATGCCCAGCCTTATGTACATCAGCCAAAAAAAAAAAAAAACTGAGTTACCATGCTGACTAACATTGATCACTATTTCATTGCACACAGTGCTATGGTTAGAGGTAAAAACAGATGACATGCTCTTTGATATAGTTTTGTAATTCTTGGAATCAGTAGCACTTTAAAGCCTTTCACAGATTCCTCAGTAGCAAAGGAATTAATAATGTAACAATCCTCTGGACAACACTGCATTCAATACTGCGAGAATTTGAAGTAAATTATTACTTAGAGGTAGAGCCATTTAATTTATTTGTCTAGCTTGAAAAATGAGAGGCCCATTGTATCCCCTTTAGTCAATTATCCAGGGATCACTACAGTGCATTCCGACCCATTTGGGGATGAAAAGTTGCACAGCCTATCTGTATAAAATGTCTAATTGGTTATATAAATATATATATATATATATATATCTTCAAAGCATACACTCTATTAATTGCACATTGTATATCCTAATAGAGAGTCTATTTATAGAGATAGATTTAAAAAGGGCACTATCAGACCCTGAGTGAACCCAAAGAAAATCTAATTCAAAACTGGTTGATTGTGGAAGCTGCTAGCTTGTGGTTTAAATGAGGATGCATTCATAACATTGATCAGCAGGGGGAGCTTATAGTCTAAATATTGTATGTTAGGCACAAGCACCTGGTTCTTGGCTTTAGAGCTGTGTGTTATTCGTGTGCTGCCGCTGTTCCCGAATGTGTTCTCCTCTGCTTCATTTCCTGACTAATTTAAATCCCTAATGAAATCATTACTGTACATTGAATGTAAACTGTCAGATGTCACTGATGCCTTACATGAACATAGGAATTTTAAAAGAGAATGTGGAAAAAAAAAAACATAGCTTGTCAAGTTTTGGTTTTGCTGCATGATCATCTGTACTATTGATTTATTATTACAAGCTACTATTGTTCTGATTATAGGTGTCATTTTTGTCTATATGCATGTAGATAGTTACACGTATCCATAGATTTATATATACTGTAGCTACCTCTGTGCATATATATATATATACTAGAAAGCACTTTTTTTTTTTTTTTTGCTCACGGCCCCCTTGTCTATAGTTTACAAAGTTCATCACCTTTATGGTAAAATATGTCACCATTAAGGGCATATGGTAATACAGAATATAGATCAATCACTAATTTGCACATGTTTAAATGATAGCCTTGAGCTGCAATTGATTGTAGCTGCTAAAAAAGAGACAAGACCTATCACTATAGGGGCAGCATACTGCTGCTATTACAAAATTGGAATTCAGAGATGGACTACCAGTAGTACTCCTGCTGCATTAAACTACATCACCCCTTGACTTCACTCTTAAGCATCATGGGAGGGGTAGTTCCTTGACATCTCCCACTGTGTCCATCATCACTTGGCTTCAATACTGAGTGTTATGGGAGTTTTCATTAATTGACAGCTGCAGTGCTGACGGTTGCCCATCGATAGCATGTTGTAACGTGTTCTGTTTAGATGACTTCCTTCCCCATCTAATGACATATTTATTTAGAAATTCTCCAGTTAAACTCATTCTATTCAATCCGAAGGCTGGATTTTCCATGTTTACCACCATATCTGTTTGTTATGTTTCTAAAAAGAAAATTTCAAAACCTGCTGTATATTGCATATGACTGCGTTCAACACTACTATAAATAGACAGCATGCGCATATTTTGAAAATAAAATGTGCAAGGCGAAACACTCCTTATAAGAATAGAAGCCCATTAACTCCAGGCATGCATCACATCACCGTATTTCTTTTACAATAACAAACACATTTGCGTGCAATCCCTAGTGTTACTGGTGCTGTATACATTTTAAACGGACGAGTGCTCATAATCCATAGCAAAGTATGATGCAAACATGTTTATATATTTTGTTAAAAAAATAAAAGCAAATATAAAAAAACAAGGAAAACATGAAACAAAGAGAGAAGCAAGAAAGTCTTTGCTTCAACAAAAGGGACATTTTCCACCCCTGGACGGTGCGGAATTCTATTTATTCAGTGGAAATAAATTTATTCTTTGAGAATGGAAATTTTATATTAAAGGAGATACTTTTTGGCTTAAATTTTGTTTTATTTTCTTATGTAGGAAGCTCTTTCTTTGCATTTGTGGCTTTGGTGTGTGTGTGTGCACGTTGAGGGGTGGGGGTGGGGAGAGGGGTTATAAGATGTATATTGTTTGCTTTTGCGAAGGGTTATTGTACAACATTTCAGAACTGCTCTGTGGCTGCTGAAGTGCACAGAGGAATGACCATCTAGTTTATCTCAACTATGAAGAGTTCACATTTTCTACTGATCAATATGAATGCACAAGCCTTATCTTTTTAACTGATGTGACTAGCACCAGTCATGATAAATGACAATGTTAGTGCTGAGTTATGGCATCTTATTGCACAAATGCTGACATGTAGATTAATATGTCAAAGCAGATATTTCCCAATACACTTGTTAAAAAGGTACCACCATTGATTTGAATTTTATTATGTTTCCCATGACTCGTTTAACTAGTTACCCTCAGATGTTTGGTTGACCATAATGATCAAGGCAACTCTTATGTGACCTCTCTTTCGCCAACAGATTCTACCTAATAGACGCCAGGCCACATTAACATTTCAACAAGCTCAATAACTTCCTGCTTACAATTTATGTCCTGTTGGGTTTTTTTTTTGCCATTGTATTTCCTGACAATCTTCATATATCACTAGAATGTGTTCTTCGTAATTAGAAAAATCACTTAAGAGCACTTCTGACAAATTTGATATTGTAAGGCAGGATAGCAAAATAATTATGGTTGTAAATAAATGGAGTTACTTGTCTTGGTCCAATGTGCCTGGACAGGTTTTTGAAAGATGGACATAGTCATTGGTGCCATGAGGGAACTGTAGATACAGCTGTGTTCACAAATTGAAGCTCTGGGTGGGGAATGCTGTAAAGTAACCCATACATTATAGAGGATTGTGTTGTTTTGGATACCTTCACATTTTAACAGTGCTCTCTGGATGTGATTTATTTTAAAATCTAGTTTAGACTTTCTATGGTCTTTCTGGTACTAGGAGGTGAAGGTCAACCATCGCTTTTAGACTTACTAGCAGAATTAGTACAGGTGGATGTCTTGTATGTCAGTCTTTCCTTTTTCTATTTATCTACCTGAGGCCCAACAATCACATATTTTCCCTGTCTTACTCTCTGCACACAAAATTGCAGTATCCTTAAGGGCCCATTTACACTGCCCTACAGCCCAAACTGCTACTGCTAATACAGAATTTTGGGCCATAGAGGCCTGCAGCAGGGGTGGTGTGATGCACGTTTTATTGCAGCACACAGCTACTTATATATATATATATATATATATATATATATATATATATATAGATATATATATATATATATATATATATATATATACAGAACTTTATATGAAGAGTACAAAGTGACACTTCATTCATGTCTCTGCACAGCGCGGTGACATGCGGGACCATGCATAGCGATGCAATATTATACAAACATGCTATATAATATTATACTGTTTTGGAATGCAGTGGGGGTTTTTTTTACTAAAGCTGATTCACTCAGAATCTTGTGCACTTCTGCATGGAAACCAATCAGCCTACAGGTTTTATTGCTAAAGCTTAACTGAACAAGCTGAGGTTAGAAGCTGATTGGCTGCCATGCACAAGTGCACGAAATTCTGAGTGAAACAGCTTTAGTAAATTTTCCCCACAGTAACACTGTGTTTTGGCCAGAACATGACACACAGAAAACTATTGTTTTCTGTGTGTCATTGCGGTTACCTGCATTTTTCAGTGGGGGAAAATGCAGGTAACTGCACATAATGTGAATAGGCCCTAAATCCCCGTAGATGCAGTTTTGCTGTCTGTGTCTTATTGGAAAGAATTCTCTTCTCTACTTGTCTCTCAGGGTTGCCAAAGAGAGGTTAAAATGCTTTATCGGGACATAGATAACATAGGATAAGATAAGACAAGATACTAATTTATTGCCATTGTATACATTTATCAAGGTACT